GAAGGGCCCCCCGCCTCGAGGAGCCCGCGCTGGCTTTGCTGCAGAACTCGCTTCTTGCGCTAGCCGTGGAAAACAGTGGGCAAAAAGCTCTTGCACATGTGCTGGAACTAGAGGTGGGAGGGCAGACGGGCAGCACTGAAATGGTTTGAGAAACTGTGGCTGAAATCTGCCTTGCTAAGATCAGATTTGGAGCGTCACCCTTGCTTTCCATACCCGGGAGCACTAAGCTTGGAGGGGTTTGGAGGGGAACCTCAGTGACGTCTTTGCGACATTTGCTGGTTATACCCAAATCCTGCAGCTTCTACCCCAGCCATTCCCTGGCAGCAAGGATGAAGCTGTCGGGCTCCTGCCGCCGGCACGGGGACGCGCTGGATGCAGCGCTGCTGCTCCGTGTTTTTCCCTGCAACTCTCACTCCTCTTTGCTGGCTGCTGGAATGGTGCGTGAGGCTCGGTAGCCCTGAGGAGTCACGTTACATTTACCGCCACAGCGAGCCCCAGATTAACCCACTTGACTGTTGCGCGTCTCAGATGTTTGAACCGATGAGTCAGATGCCTCCGCCAAACTTGGCTCCAAAATTTGGAGGAGGGTGCGGGAGGGGGAAACAAAACTAAACTAGATCTTGGATTCTTTCTAGATTTTTTTCTTTTTTTTGAACCTGGGGGATGTGTGTGGTCAGTTCTTCAAGAGATCCTGTGAGGGAGAGCAAGGGAGTCCTGGACAGAGGGAAAAAAAAACAAATAGAAGCTGGGATAGTCAGATGTTCATTTGTCTTAACGAACAGGAACGCTGCGGGAAAACACCTCTCTGTTATGCAGAGACATAAACACCCTGAACGCTGGTCACCCTGCAAGTGGTTTTGACTTCCCTGCACAGGCTTGCAAGGTATACGTGGGAGGATTTGGGAGTTACCAAGCCGTATTTCTGAAAAGTTGATTTTGAAGCCTTTACCCAGCATCAACTGACTTTTCTGAATCCCTAAGTGTTACAGCGAGTTTAAAGTACAGATTCACTGGCCCTTTTATATAGCTCCATGGCAGCTATAGTTAGATTTCTATTTTTAATTTTACTTTATTTATTTCTTTCTTTCCTTCCTTTTTTTTTTTTTTCCATTTTCAACCACAGCACATCTAAAATAAAACCCTAATGAGCAGCACAGTGCTTGCTCAGCTACCAGACGCAAGGACAGGGATTACTCCATCCATGAATCTGGCTGCCACGTCTAGTGTGATGACACAGAACATGTTTTCCCCTCAAAAGAAACACTATTTTTTTTCGTTGGGATGAGCCAGTTCCCCAAAGTTCCCACTCTCCAAGCTCTTCAGCTTGGTCAGCAGCATTGCCCTGCCCGAGATGGAGGCTACAGTGACCACTACGGTGGCAACCCATGAGGCTGGGCACCAGGAGGGATTTTGCAGGGCAGTGAGAAGTGGGATGGATGTTCCTCCCCACAGCACACGCCTCTGCCAGCCCAGTGGCGTTGGGGCAGCGCTGGGGCCATCGCCGGGGCCACACGGCGCCATGGCTGCACTGAGGCCCGCGGGCTCCTTGGAGGAGGCCACAGGTGGGGAGTGGTAGGGGAGGGACCTAGTCTGTGGTGGCAGCCAATGAGCAAGCAGCTCAGGCTGACGCAGCCAATCAGAGGCGGGGCTGCCTTGATGGGCATTGCAGGCCCTGGCTGGGCCGGGACCTGTGGAGAAGGAGCTTGAGGAGGCCGAGCTGTGGTGAGGGCAGGGGTGGCGGCACCGTGGGGCAGCAGGGTTGGGACCTGGAGAAATGGGGCTGTGGACAGGGCTGCTGGTCCTCGCCTGGCTGGGCGTGCAGAGCAGGGGAGGTCTGCAGGGTGCACAGGTGGTGTGGCCTCCTCCACCGGGCACCTCGACATGGCAACCGCTGAGGTGTGGCCATGGCGCGGGCCGTTGTGCCAGCGGGGAGGCCCATGTGCTGGCACTCCCAGACCTGTCCCTGGCACGGGACCAGAAACAGGGTTTTTTTTAACCCCTGGGCCTGGCAATCTGCAGGGAGCTCCAAGGAGCTGTGGGGCTCAGGGTGCTGAGGGGATGGGTGGGCCTGGTGGTGGCATCGGGTCCTGCGGGAGGATGGGCAGTGTGAGAGGGGGACAGGCCTCACAAAAACCAGCCAGAACCTTGGCCTGTTCTTTGTTCACAACCCTTTCTGGCCCCGACTTGTGGTACTGTGAGAACTTTAGGTACATTACCTTGTAATGTCCTTACAGGAGGGCCCAGCCTATTCCACGTTTTCCTCAGAAGTCTGTTCGTGTTAATTCTTATTGCTCAAAATTATTTCATTTGCTGTGGAGTCCTGCTTTTCCCTCTCTTTTCCTCCTTTTCTACTTTCTGTCAAAACCTTATGTGCACAATACTTGTCTGCATCTAAACAAAAAGCAGTGTTTCCTCTATCATTCTCTGTAGTCTGTAGTTCAGCTGGTCCTCGTGTGTGCTTCCTACATGCACCAAAGTAAAAATGTCATCACTGTAGGAAATCTTGAGAGAGCTCAGAGTGTTTTTTTCAGCTGCTGCAGTGACAGAAATGCAAGTGGCGTTATAAGGTGTTAGCTAACTTCAGACTTCAGCTGGATGTAAGAAAAGCAGTAGTCCGGATAGAAACATCAGGAGCTGATTGCTGGAAGTGCCTTTGTGCAGAGAATATTCCTCTTAGCACTGAGAGCCTGGTATTGCCACCAGCCTTCAGACTGCTGAGCTAAGTGGATCACGGGTATGATCCAGCCCAGCCATCCTCTAGGAATTAGGACTTCTGTGTGGAATTTGTCATCTGTACCCAGCTCTTTCCTAAGCTTCTTCCCGGCTGCCGCTGCTGCGCATGGTGCCTGTTCCCAGCAGTCCTCTGACTGGCCTGATTTGGCTCTGCCAATGACTGGACATGAGAAGAGCAAATACTTAAACCTCAAAGTGAAATGTTAAAACAACTGAAATAAGCCTCTTCTATTCATCTCCCCTTTGAAGGTGCTTTTTGAAGCAGGAGACACAAGGGGATGCTCCACTTTAAAAGCACTAAAAATGCTGAAACATTTATGCTCCCAAAGGACTCGACATTCCCGCTTGGATTTTAATCTAGCTCTCGCTGCAGCTTAGACTGTTACTTTGCAGGTTTTTCGGGAACTTTGGTGAGTTTGGCATTGTGCTCTAGTGGTTGTTTAGTTACTGCGTGTTCTTCCGTTTGTTGTTTGTCAGTCAGTAGGCAAATGAGTTACCTCTACCCCCCGAAACGGGTGTAGGTGGCTTCAAAGTACTTATTAGGAAATATGCCAATATCAGAAAAAGGATTGGTGACATATGGTGTGGTGCAGTCATACAGGCTCTTCTGGAAAAAATAATGCAAATTGTTTTTGTCTAAAGCTTTAGGTACAAAATATTTGGCTCAGACACTTGCAAGAGCTGCAAGTTCTGCTGCCTGAGATGCCATGATGGGAAAATGTGCAAAATATAGGTCCAGAGATTTCTAAAGCCTGCAGCAACTTCTGTAAGCAGTGTGTTGCTATAAGAGGAGGCCTTGATTACCTAAATTCAGCCATGCTCTGTAAGAGAAGTATTAGCTTGTAGAGAAATCCATATCTTGGAGATCAGAGAGCATAAGCATATGAGACTGCAGAGTTCAGCTCCTCTTGACTTGGAGGGAGGTACAGCCAAATTGTTTTAAGTTGTAGGAATTTTTTAACTCAACAGACAAAAGAAAAGGAAATGGACAGAGAGAACAGAAGGCAAACTGCCAGGACTGAACTGAGAATGTGAGTACTGAAGACAAGGGGACCAGGTAATCTTCATCCTGCACTGTCAAAGTGGTTGCTACCTAATGCTGAATTTCTGATAACAGGAAGTTTTACCGAATCTGTCATGTCAGAGATGGTAATAAAATACATTTAACAAGCTGAACAAGATGGGGGTTAACCGAGCCATTAAAAATCGGATAATTTTTTTCATGTGGTTTGTGTTGTGGCAGGTAGTGTCAGGCTCGCCTTTTTCATTAAACATCTGTCTGTCTAGAAAGACATGTTTGGTTGTCTGTTTTTTTCTGTAGAGGATTTATTGTGTAATCACATGGAAAATGAATTACTGTGTCAAAGGGGTGGAGGTTTATGTAAGCACTGCAGGATGGGTAACTAAGCTGGTGAAAAGGAGGAGGTTTAGTAAAAAATTGAGTTGGAGGCCTGAGTCGTGAGAAAGATGGTAGTTCTAACCTGTGGCCTCAGCATAAAAAGGAGGAATATGTCGATGGCAGAAGAGTGCCATGGAACAAATCTGAGACATGAGCAATAACAACTAGGAGGATTAGGATAAATGTATTACATGCGATGAGCAGTAAAAGTTTGTATTTGTAGAAAAAAAATACTTTCTTTGTGCTGGGATTCATCAGCTTGGAAAGAAAGCATAGCAGGTGACTGGGTTCAATGTTGGAAGAGACAAGGGAGAGCTCAGTTTTAGGGAATGAGATGCTTCTGATAGAGGTGGGTAGCGTTGGTGCCACGGTGCGCAACATGATGAACGTAAACCAGAAATTACGTGCTGCCATTACCTGTTTTTTCAAGATGATAGAAAATTCAAGAGGTGCCTCCCAGCTCTGTGGTTTCTCTGCTATATGGCAAAAGAGTTGAATAAATGCATTCTTTTGTCATCCAGCTGGTCTGTGGAATACAGCATATTTGTAAATCTCTTTCTTCATCCAGATTTCCATGTGACCATGTAAAAGAAACCAGATCGAGTGCTTGAACTCCAGTGCTGCCAATACTGAAGAAGTCTCTGGTGTTTCTAGATGGCGGCTTCCTAATTGTATCCCGGACAGGAAAATTCTACCTAAGACCTTTTCGTGACAAAGGAAAATGAAATAAATCACAGGACTAGAAGTAAATTACAGCTAATGTCATAGCTTATGCCATCACTGGCTTTAAATCTTAGTTTGCTCAAATAGAATCAAGTTCAAAGCAGTCATTTTATTTTGTTAAAGTTCTGATTTAAGTTTTAAGTAGTTCTGAGCCAGGTTAGTTCAGCAGTGGCCCTTCATTTCTTTCACTTGGGCAGGGGCATTATTTAAGAATAGGTGAGGGGCCCGGGCCATCTCTTGCAAAGAGATGAAATGAAAAGAATGTCTGTAAGAGGACTTTTTTAGCACAAATGTGGAACAGAGATGATAAATGAACCTGCTAACATTCAAAACGTGGCTATCAGCAAGAAAACTTCATTGGGCAGGTATGTGCCTAGCAGGCCTGCGCTCTTTAGTGCTTCAGTTTCTTTTTTTTTTCTTTTTTTTTTTTTTTGATGCTAATGTGAATCAGAAATGACTAGTACTTTAAAAATGGGGCGATATCTCAGTCTCTGATGGGAATTGCTGAGTGAAAAATGTCCCTGGTCTGGAGCAACATCCAGATTAACAGAACAGCTGGATGCAAAGTGTTTGTTAAAGAGACTTAACTGAAGCATCACCAAGCATAGCTGGTAGCCCTGGAGTTAGACACCTTACAGGGATGCAGCAGATCTCAGAGAGACCTGGGGGCTGCCTGCTCGCAGCTCAGGTGTGTGGGGGGAACTGCTGCGTCTGCTGCTGTGTTGTGTTAAGGGTGTGAATGCTGGGCTGCTAGGGGAGAGCATGGGGGAAGGAAATGCCTTTGGTTTTGGTGTAGTTCCCTGCAGCCCATTGATGGCACCCACTCACCTGTTTCTCCATGGCTTTTTCCTCATCCCTTGCGTTCTTTCTCCTGCTTTCTCCCGACAGCATCTCCTCCTGCTCACTTGTGGTGATCCGCTAGCTGTCGAATCCCACCGAACTCGTTTTCCCCTTTCTCGCCTAAGCTCTTGACAGCAGCACATGAGGGTTGCTTTCTGCCTGGCTCCGTGCTCTTTAATTTGGCTCAACCAAAGTCTGCTGGGCCATGTCGCATGCCCCAGCACCACGTGTCTGGGAGCCGAAGAAAATCCTTGGACACGCTCTGCTTAATATTTTCGTTCTCCCTTGCCTCATTGGCAAAGCTCTTGATTTAGTTCCCTTCCATCAATGTCAGTCTAAAGAGCCTACAGTTTTGCAGTGCCAGCTTGACTAGAGGGATTCTGCACCATAAGACTTCTGCATCTATAAGCTCCTGTTGGTGGCTTTTGCCACCTGGTGCAACGTGGAGTTCTCTGTAGATGCTCCACAAGTGATGCAGATCATTTGATTGAGGCTGTGGATGATCTGCAGCTGAGCACAGGGGCTTTTGTGTGTTGTTTCTTATAAGCCAACTGCTTTCTGCCTGCATTTCTTTAATGCCATGTGGTTAGGGCTGCTCTACAGGCTGGAGTTTCTTTTTATCAGTCCTTTTTGTTGCAGTTTTTTAGAGAAGCACGTCAAAATGGAAAACTCCCTTGTGCTAATTACTAAAGATCCTTTACCATGCCATTGCTACAGCTTCCCTTTAACAGTTTAATGTTCATCTCTTCTCTCCAAAATCTCAAAGTGAGGTATGTTCCTGGCACTGAAAATACTTTCTTTTCTCTCCATAGGTTCAGTACTGTGGCTTGCTGTTCCGGCATGAGGGCTGGCCCCTATGCATTCACGAGAAGATTGTAGTCCAACTAGCTTCCCTCGACTGGCGAATCTTAAAGCCTGGTGACTTTTACCTGCAGGTGGTTCCCCATCTGAAGAAGTCCCCACGAGTTGTACTGAAATGTCTGGCGAAAGACAAGCACAACGTGGAAGAAATTGTGATTCCAGAAGTCTCCTATACCTCTATTTTTACGCTGGAATGGTTGAGTACTATCAATGGAGAGCGGATGGGTATAGCACTAGAAAACTGTTTACTAACCACTAATGATAAAATATTTCGTGTTCCCTGGGAGAAAGTAGTTAAGCCTGAATTTATTAATAAACCAAAAATAATTGAAAATAATATAATCACTCCAGAAATTACAGAAGAGCTTTCGGTTTTGTGCCACCCCATGGACCATGCTGAGTGCAGCTCACCAGACATAGGATCTCAGTATCTACAGGAGCAAAGTTTGAGTGAAGACAACTTGGTCATTAGTAGTGCAGCTCCACAATTAAGCAAAACTGTTGTCAATGGTGTGTGTACAAGTCCAGTGCCTCAAGAGAACTTGCAAAGTGACCTTGAAGGGGAGTACGTTGAACTTGCAGAAGTTTCCGTGCCCAGGTTTGGGCCACAAACAGGCTCTTTAACCCAGTCACTAGCTTTAAATTACAGAACTGAGCCTAGAACAAGAGTGAATGCATCTAAGGGTACGCGCAGGTCTGTTGTCATTCAAGATTGCATGTACTCCGAGAACTTAAGTCAGCCAGTGCTTACACAGAAGGAGCTCCGTCAAATGGACACTCTGAGGACTTCTTCAGAAGTTCTTGACAATGTAGCTGCTCTGGAAAGCAACAACATGATGGCACATGGTGGACCGTTTCCTGAACGTCAGCTGGAATCAGGTGGTCCTGGGAACATGGGCAATCATTTTCCTGGGGCTGTGTCTCCTGCCAGCAGGGTGGAGGATACATCCCCTGCAGAGCAGGAGGCCAGCAGTGAACACTCAATCGACTGGCAATACGCGCTGTGCAGCTACAGTGACATGTGTGCTGGAGATGGCCTTGGCTGCAAAGCACAGCCGACTGCTGCTTCTGGAAACACAGAGCTGGAAAGTGATGTTTCTAGTGGAAAACCTGGTGCTGAAACACCAGAGCAGTGTCCAGAAATGCTTCTAGATGCTGCTAACGAGGAGACGATAAGGAGAGATCTTGGAGAACCACTGAGAAAGAGCCCGAAGGAGGTGATGAGAGTGGATCCCTGTCCTGTGTCTGTCACAGGGTCTTCCAGACCTCACTGCGCCCTCAGGGCAGATTCTGATGTTTCCTGCCAGAGTGTCAGTGAAAGCATTGGAGCGGTCCAGGCCGCTGCACCGCTCTCCACAGCTGAGAGTTCAGGCACAGGGATGGAGAGAGGCTTCCCATCATCGGGCGATGGGGCAGGTGGCTGCTGCACTCACCAGGAAGCAAATCTTAGTTCTTCACTAAATCCTCCAGAACTGTTAGACCAAGGAAAAGTAGATGAATTTGAAGTGGAAAGAAGAGAAAGCCCTGAGGAAGTCAAAGTGATGGAGCAAATGTGGACTCTAAAAGAGAATGAGAGTAGCCATAATTACAGCTCTGCTGAAGGTCCAGTGGATGGACTCTTGTCAGAAAGTAAAGAGCAAGAGGTCTCTGTCCATGAACATAAAATTGCTGAAGAAGCCCAGGCAACAGGGAGCAATCAGTGGGCAGAACCATTAGATAACAGCAGCTCTTTGATGCACGTGGATACACAGCCAGAAAGCTCAAGTGAAGTCAAAACGCACAGGAATGGAGAGAGATGTGAGGAGCCACAAAGTCAGGCAGAAAACCAGGACAGAAGTGAAGTGCACTCTGTACTGAGAGCAGAGCCTGTTGCAGCGCAGGGTTTTCAAGGAGACTGCTGAAGGTCCAGTGGATGGACTCTTGTCAGAAAGTAAAGAGCAAGAGGTCTCTGTCCGTGAGCATAAAAGAGCCGAAGAAGCCCAGGCAACAGGGAGCAATCAGTGGGCAGAACCATTAGATAACAGCAGCTCTTTGATGCACGTGGATGCACAGCCAGAAAGCTCGAGTGAAGTCAAAATGCACAGGAATGGAGAGAGATGTGAGGAGCCACAAAGTCAGACAGAAAACCAGGGCAGAAGTGAAGTGGACTGTGTGCTGAGAGCAGAGCCTATTGCAGCACAGGATTTTCAAGGAGGGGAGGAGAACCAGGGAAGTGTTTCTGAGGGGAAAAAGTCAAAGATTGAGGGTGAGTCTGTGGCCCTAAAAACACTGGAATCCATTAAAGAAGAACTGGAACCTGGACTGCTGTCCTCAGGACCTGTCGAGGGTCATGGAGATCCCACCGCTCTGCACTCCCACCAAGAGACAGCTTCAGGGACCTCATCTCCTACAGGTACAGCAGAACTGGAGGTTTGTGGTGGATGTGTGGGCAGAAAGCAAAGGCCTCGAGAGCTACTCCTGACAAATGCTGCCTGCTAGGGAGCACTGGGGGGAATAGCAAAAACTGCATGGAAGTGTTTTGGTTTTCAGTTTCGTGGCTTGAAATGCGACTTTTTCTTTACAGAGATCAACAAAGGTGGGTACAATGTAAGAAGCAAATTGCAGAGCTGAGGATTTCCCCCCTCCCTTTCTCCTCCTTTCGAAGCTCTTCTCAGCTTGGTTATGTTTCAAGTAGGAGCTGTTTAGCAGGAGTGGGAGAGCTAACCTGATATTTTTCAAGTGGGAACATGAAGGCAGTGAGATATTAAAGCACCTACTGTCAGGCCTAATGCATCCTCAGTTCAGCTTCAAGCAGATGTTGCCCAGATTTCTTGGCAGCTGGGTTCCTGCGTCAAAACGGTGTTTCTTTGGAATAGTCAAACCGTCAACCTGTGTCTGCCCCTCGCAGCAGGCTGTAGGCAGCAGTGTGTAGCCCCAGTGGAGATGCTGCTGACTGTGCCTCGCTTTGCTGGCTCTGCAGAGCTTGAGATGCAGATGGCAGAGAGCAAAGTGCGTGTGCGTGGCGGGGGCGGGAGGAACAGGCCACTCCGGTTTGGCAGCTCTCATTGCTCGAGACCCCCGGCTAGGAAAATTCCCCAGGCTTGAAATATTAAAAGGAGGAGACTTGAAAGGGTCGGAGGTGCAGATCCACGCTGCCAGAGCACGTCCGAGGGACTGCTCAAGAACCTTACAGCCAGTGTAAAAATCACTGTGGTGCCTTGGATAGCCCTTTTTGAAGAAAGCTCTCCATGTGAGCCACAGAGCAGGCACTGGCTGGTAATGTTCTTGACCAAGGCCTTCACCTCCCTATACCCAATCCTTGTCAAACCTCCAAGAGTAAAATTTCAGAGATATAATCCCAGAGGGATGTCCTTTAGAGGGTTTTTTCACTGCCAGCTGGTCAGGCTGTAGGTGAAGGAAAGTCTTGGTAGTTCTGAGTCTTCTTGGGGATGTTTTGCTGCTGGAACTAACTATAAAGAACAACCAGGTCAATTCTTGAGCTCCTCTGACCCAGTTCAGATCTACAGTTCAAACCTCAGTAGTAGAAAGCAGATGCACAGGAATTTAGTTATTAAATGGACTAAATCAAAAAACGTGTAGAACTAGAATATCTGATTTTGTTGCATCTACAGGTGGTTCTTCACACCTTTTTTACCTTGTTCCCACCCCCAGTCCCTGGTTCAGCTTATCTTTTATACTGCGGTGATGTCCTTGAGAAGGATTTTGAGCTGTGTGTTTCGAGGTGGAAATTAAAAATTTCCACTGATTCCATGTGGAGGTTGAACCCTCACTCGGGGGGGTGAAAATAATTTGATATTCAAGAAACTGTATGAAAACCCACTTTGGGATGTATCCAGCAGCACCTGCTAGGGCATTTCAGTCCTGCTCTCTGTTTTTACGTGATAATACCATAGATAGCACCGTGCTGGGATGGTTGCAGGCAAAGTGCTCTTGCCTCTTTGAAATGCATACGAGCAAATCCTCCTCTACCGCTTCCTTTACCTCAGGGAAAGGTGTAACCCACAAGCATGTCAAGTTCAGATGTTCCAGTTCTCTTTTTGATGCAATCCTCCGTGTCATGCAGCTTCGGCTTAAGAAAGAAGTTCCTCCACTCTTGCTTGCAAATAACATAAAAAGGGTGTTCGTGCCTGGTCTGAGGGATGTAGGGATAGCTGCTGTGAACTGGGCCACCCCACTGGAGCTCATCTGTTTGCTTTTTGCAGTTTGAGTGAGGTTGAGGTAGTTTGGAGGCCACACAGCTCCATGAGGTTGCTTCCTGGCCAAAGGCTCTAGCACTATCACCTTGGCTGGTGGCCAGAGCTATGTGGGTCCCTCAAGCTGTTGCCCCAGCCTGTGTGGCCCAAATGGGCTCCCAAGGGTGCTCCCTGGAGGGGACATCACCAAAGAGCAACAAGCAGATGCTCACTTATGTCCTTGGTGGATCCCAGGAGCCCCTCTAGGTTCCCCTGATTGTCTGATATCTCTGCAGATTGAATCCTGCTGCTGAGGGCACCTCTCTCCCTCACCTAGAGCAGTTTCTAAAGCAGCTGGGGTTGAGCCCCAGCCTGCAAATCTCCCCTGCTGCAAAACTTGCCAGGAAAGCCACTTCAAGGGCTGCTTGTTCCCAGCCCTGCTCTTTAATGAAGAGTTTGAGTTTGTTAGTAAATAAACTGAGTCAAATGGTGGCAGCATGGAGGAGGGTTAAAGTCCATTTTAGGCAGCAATTAAAACTGTGACTTCAGGCAAATAAGCATTCTGAAATGAGATTGATTTGCCTGAAATGAGGTTGATTTTTTTTTTCTTTTTTTGGTAGATATTGAAGTGTCTCGATTTGCAGTCAAGTGTAGCTGTTATTCCATAGTTTATCTTCCTGCCAAGCAGAGGGATACCCTAGCTATGTGCTTAGGATATTAAAGCTGTGTTGTGTGTGTGAGGATTATAATTCTGCTGGGAGGTGGGGACTAGTACTTCTTGCATCCACAGGTGGAGTTTTAATTCTCTCCATCTACGTTTATGTGAAAATTGAAACACAAAGTGAGGAAACTAGTCTTAGTTCTCCTGTGGGAAGGCAGGGCCGTTAAGATATTCAATTTGGGTTGCAAATGGTTCTCAAAACTTGCGCTTTGGAGCCAAGGCGTCCTGTAAAGGGAGCGTTTCCTCCAGTTCTGAGACAGAGCTGCTTGGCCTCGGCATCCCGTTCCTCAGGGTTTTAAAAGAGGTTTTTGCCTTTCACATTAACTGTTAATTAAAACAAATTTGGAGGAGAAGAACACGGTCTGTTTACTGCTGATTCCCAGCTTATTTGTTAACTTTGAGGCAGCTTCTTATTTTCAAGAGCAAATGTGCAAGTGTTTTGGGGGGGATTTCTGCACCAGCAGAGCAGCTTTCCCTGGCAGGAGCTGGTTTATCCCTTCAGCGAGCTCAGACTGCTGGAACTCAGCCAGGGACTTTGAACGCTCCAGACTTTGAGGCTGCCAGCAAATGTGCCCTGCTTGATCAGTTGCCTTTAAAAAAAGTCTTTGAATCGAGTAATCCTGGTCTTAAATGAGTTGTAACTTCAAACTTCACAATAAATTGGTTTGTTTATTTTTTTTTTTAAAAGGGACATTGGCGTTGTAACTGGCGTATTACTGGCAGCTTTTGGAATGAAGCTGTGCTCTGGCTTCTCACTGCTGCTCCTCTTGCAGGGCCGGTGTCGGAAGGGGTAGAGACGAGAAAAGAAGCAGTTGACCCTGATTCATTGAAGTCAGTGGGGAAAGTCCTCCAGGAAACCTCGGCAGCTGCTACTCCTGTGACGCCCCCAGCTTCTGGGACCGCCTGGGGGGGCCGATCTATCCCCACCATGGCCAAGGATGTGAACCTAGAAGTGCTCAGGAGTGGAGTTGCCTGCCTGCCTGGTGAGTAAATGTGTGCCTGGAAAGGCTGCTGTTGCAGGAGGGCAGGGGAGATGCACTTCTGGTTGCACATCTTTTGCACAAGTCCTGCCCTTTTCAACCCCAAACCTCTGCAGAGCGGAACTTCTTAAAGAAAAATCTCTTTAACTTGCTCCCAAGGGCCTTAAGGCATTGACTAAGCAAGTCAGAAAAGCCAAAATAAGTGTCCAAGGTCACGCCAGCAGCCCAAAAGGAGAAGGATGAGGATGCAGCCGACGCTAGGCTGGTGGGCCTGACATCAGACCCGCTCAAGACAGCAGGAACCTGACTCACTTGGTAGATAATTAAAGGAGCAGAGTGTAGAAGATGCCACTTGACAGGGCTCTTGTAAAACCAGTTTTGTGCTTTGTAATTAGCAGTTTGGTTGGTTAAATGTAGCTGCGGAAATATAATAGATTTTTATAAAACATTGGATTTTGTGCTGCCCAGCAGGATTGTGAAAGGAGTAACCCAGTGCAGTGCAGATGAGCAGCTTGTGGGGTGAATAAAAGCACAGCTAAATAACAGGTGACAGAACCCTCCCTCAAGGGAGGGGTTCTCAGAATTGTTCTGCCAGGATCGGTTGTAACCTGAACATGATTCAGTTTGTGCATCTCTGCAGCAGCAAATATCAAACTTCTGGATGGGCCAAATCTTGCTAGAGCTGTGAAAAAAAAAAAGCTGAGGCTGCTAGATAGAGTGGCCAATGTTGCTTAATGTGCAGGGTACAAGCAAGAGATCTGTATTTAACCAAACATCAGGTCAATCAGAGGAAGGGAGAGCTCTCTCCCTCCGGTGGATACAGTGTGAAACGGAGCCGCTCGGCAACATCTGCTCCCGCAGCCTGTGCTGGCTTCCTTCCGTAGCTGGAAAGAGCGGATCAGGAAGGAAGGTGCACTGTGGGTCAGGACAGCTGCGTTCAGTCCACTCGGGAGCCATGTCTGAGTGGAAAATCATCCTGAAAGTAAAGAAGACAGACAGGGCTGCCTGCTGAGAAGGGGAGAGATGGGAGCGTACTGAGGGGTGAGGCTGCAAGACCAGTTTTGCCCTGCCGTGTGTAAAGGAGCGTGGATGACCAGTTACATCAAGAACATGATTTCACCTCTGTGTTATGTGTTGGTGAGACTTCTCTAGTGCTTTGGGCTGTTCAGGACAACATGGTGCCCTCATTTGCTTCAAAACTCCTCATTCTGCAAGAAAATGGTGAAAGCTGGAGATGGTGCAGAAGAGGGCAACGGCACTTTCATGGAGCTGAAGTGAATGCCTTCTGGAAGAGACTTGAAGTTTGTTAATCTTATGAGAAATATGAGAATGAGGTGAAAGATCTCATAAACTTGAAAATAAGAGTTCAGTATTCTGGAAAAATTAGAATGAGAAACTAAGCACAGAGGTAAGTCATGATGTATTTAAATCTGCAACTTTGCTTTGGTAGATATATAGTTAGAACAAATTCCAGAGGAGGATTTTTCATCCTCATCTGCTGGTCAGACTGGATGTTTTTATGATGTGTAGCTCAGCCGGACAAATGATTGGATTTGTAAGAGGAGTTTTTGGTCTAAAGGTGAAACAGACTCTCTGGAGAAGCAATATTGTCCTGATTAACAACTTTTCTTGTGCATGACCATTGCCTGCTGAAATATGAAAGGATAGATACCCAAGGAGGGGCCCACATAATTCAGTTAAATGCTAAGTATTACTCCTGGGAAGTAATATGATAACTACATTAGCAAGGATAAATTTTGTAGGGAATAAGAAGTAATAACTGATTAATAACTGATGAAATGAGGAAGAAAGTCTTCCGTGAGAAGCGTTTTATTCATGCAGTCTTGAATTGTTTGGTTCAAATAGCCACTGTTGGAGACCCTGATAGCTGGGGGTGATCTTTTGATTTGATCTGTGTGGCTCTCTGGGCCTTGGTCAGGTTGCATTCTGGGGACCGATTGAGGTCAGTTTTTTTTTGTCCCGAGGCCAGGGAGAGAAATCCAGGACAGTTATTTTGCACGGGACCAACAAAGCGTGGAAAATAGCGAAAAGTGTGACTCGCTTGAGGCCGTGTGATTTTTGTTTTGTTCTTGGGAAATTTTTTTCCCTCATGCTATTTGTATGCCAGGAAATGACTTGTAGTTTGGTGAATTACTTTTCACACAATAGAGGGGTGGTCCTCACTGTTATCCACTGCACTTATCTCCGTGGTGACGTGCGAGGTTGCAGAGCTGGTGGCTTGGCCAGACATGATCTGCGGGCCTTGCCTGCTTGGCGGATGGTGGGAATGATGGAAAAGGCTCCAGCTCTCCAAGCTGGGGTGTCCTGTGCTTTACCTGCCCTTTGCATCTGGAGCTTATGGTGGCTGCAGTGTCAGAAACGTTGCCTTTGTTGGTAGCAAATTTCTGCACCTTGCACCTGGGAATGCAGAGCATGGTGAAGTCTAAAGTCAGATTATCATTTAGTTGGGGGAGTCCCTGGAGCTAGCGCAGCTCCTGTGGCAAGCAGAGGGCAGGGAACAGTGTCCATCGCTGGCTGAAGTCAAGGGCTTTCCCTTGCTGCAGCACCTCATTAAGGAAAACCTGTGGTTTTTTGCTCCTTGAGAGCCTGGTAGCACCGCAGAGCACAGAGTGTTGGGGAAGGAGAGAAATGGGAGGCTGACAGCGCTCATGTGGTTGTGATAGGCCGTCTGTGGTCACATAACAAGTGAATGTGAGATTGTCTCTTTTGGGCTTAAGAGATTCTTGCTTTTCCCAAAAGCCAGCAGTGCAGTTATCATTAGTTAGGTTCGTATTCTGTTAAGAATGCATTTTTTTCTTTGTCTAGAAGAGAGCAGTCCAAGTTCATCTGAGAGAAGGACAAGTAGAGCTCAGCTACTTCACTCTTGGGCAGCAGCCAGGTGCTTCGGAAGTGTATTTATAGCCGTCTGTGATCTGCCTGTGTGCAGCACACACTATCTCTAGCCCTGTGGGGTATTTTAGGGAATGCAACGAGGGTGGCAGTAGGGGTCTCCAAGACATCGGAACTGGGCCGTGGTAGCTTGACTTCCTCTGTGGTGCTTTTCTTTTACAGGTACTAGGGATAAATCGGGCCGGGCCGTGGCCATAATAACGACGAGGAGCACAGCATGGCTAAACCCCCACTGCAACACGGACGAGCTCGTGCGCCTCCTGCTCTACCTGCGCAGCATCCCCAGGTTGGTGACGCTCATGTCTGCTGGAAGGGACAGCTGCTGCCTCTTCCACTCTATCTTTTGTGGCTGTGGAAGCTGATATTGTCTTTCTTGGCCTAGGGAGCTGGTCCAGAGAGTCCCAAAATCGGATAAGTGGGAATCTCTGATGGGACCAACTTGCTGTGCTGCCTCTGCCTTGTTCACAGATTGTGAAAGAATCAGATACACACAGAATGCTTCCATGCATTATTGTAAATCCAGTCTACCCCTGCTCTTCTTCATCAGAAGAAAAATGGATTTGGGGGAAGGATGTGGTAGCCACACAGCGGCACATCGCAGAATGGTCTTTGGAGACTGTTTCCAGGCTGAGGGGAGGGAGGCTTGAAGAAATCTGCCCTGGCATGTGGCTCATGAGCCTTTTTGGAGGCTGCAGGCTTGAGTTTGCAACAGCTATACCTGCACTGCCTTCGCTTCCAAAGCTCTAACCTTTTCTTCACACTGCCATGTCTGAGGATTTCAGCAGCCTTGGCCCCCTGGTGACAAACATGGTTTCTTTTTCTCTGTCTTTGCAGACCAGAATGTCAAGCTTTGGGTTTGACCGTCCTTGTGGATGCTCGGCGCTGTTCCCCAGTTCCTGCTCTCTTCAAAGCATTCAACATACTGCAGGTGAGCTGTGAGCTCAGAGCCCTCAGCGAGGCCAGCGGAGCACTTGTGTCCTTGGCTCGCTGGCTTACTGGGATGGTTTATCTCCATCTGCCCTTCCGACTCCATCTGCCACCTGGATTTCAGTCGTCTTTGGGCAGGGAGCACCCAACCCCATTCTGACCTGGATTTGCCAAGCTGAAAACAAGGCCAAAAAACCTAGGCAGGTCTGAGTTAGGGGCAGGCCCTCCCTGCCTTCAGATTTTCTTCAGTCTCTGCTGAGAAGAGCCCCATACCTCAGTCTAAATGATGTGCTCGGAGATGTCAGCCATGGCACTGAGAAGCTGTGTGAAATCCACAGGGATCATTGGCCACCGCAGAGAAAAAAGGCGGAGAAGAAAAATGAAAAGGCAGCAAGGGAGGAGGACTGCTTGTTGTAGCAGGTGGAAGAGCACGTGCGGCTGCTCGTGGGGGTGTCGGGGAACGGTTGGAGTCGGACGTGCCGTAACTCTGCATTGCTTCAGGTCAAAGGCTTTCATGTGAGGCGCCTGGAAAGCAAGTGGGTTGCGTTGCCACTAGTCCCAGATTGCTTCCATCTGCTGCTAATTAGAAAGCCAGAGGAAACACTGGGTTGTTGCTGTGACTAATCTCGTTGAAGCAGGTGCTCCTTTAAATCAGGACATGTAGGTCTCCCCGGCCTCAAGCTCTGCAAATTGGAACGGGACGATACTTTAATGAGGCTGGTGCCTGTGGTTTCTGTGCTTCAGTAACACAGCTGGGAGTTGTGGGGTGATTTAGAAATCAACGACGTGTTGAGACATGGTGCTGTGGGACCACAAATGAGTCTAGTCCCCAGTCTCATACAGCATGGAGGGAATAAAGCCATTTTCTTGTTCCAGGTGGCAGTAGCTGGCAGGGGTTAATCACTTTGCTCAACGTTTCTTGATCCTTACTCTGACTCCATTAATGAGACCCATTTGGGTAACTTATTGTCTGTTTATTGCACAGAGATAATCCCTTGGCACCTTTGAGCCTTTCTGGAGATCCTTGACCTTTACTTCCATGTTCCCACCACATTGCTGTCACTGGTCATCAGTTGAGGACAGAAATGTCTAGAAAACTGTAGCTAGGCCTGACAGAGTCCCTTCCGAAATCCCCCACACGTCTCCCAGTATCTCTTGATCTCTGTCAGACCATCCGTTCTGCTCATCCCTCTGCTGTTCTGCTCCCTTTCTGAACCAGATCTGAATTCCGTGGTTTTCCTCAAGCCCACTCTGGAAGCGGTGATGAAATCTGGTAAATGGTGAGGTCCAGTGTTGCTCATTCAGGGTTGAAGGGACGTTTTCCTCTTGACTCAACAACAAAGTGCCGGTGACTAAGAGTGGATCCGCTGACCTAATGCCAAGTCTTTTCCTGCTGCAAGCCTCAGATGGGTTAACCCTGTAGATCCTCCCTGCGAAGTGAAGATCTCGAAGGCAGGAGCAGGAGAAATATATGGAATATATGGAGATGAGGGAAAGTGCAGCATGTACGTGCTGCAGGGGTAGATGGTGCTCGTTCCTGTGGGAAGCTATGGAATGAGCAGGGACTTGGGCAGAGATGAACGCTGCTGAGAGGTTGCATCCCAGGTTGTCACCAGACAGCTCAGTGTTCCCCGAGCTGGGAAACCTGCTCTGAAGTCCATTTTTCAGCAGCACCAGGCCAGGCTCTTGGTCAGTGAGCAGCCTGGGCGCTGGCAGCGGAATGTGCAGGCTGGGCTTCAGCAAACAAATGCCTGCAGGATTTTCCTCTGCCGGCGTTTTTATAGAGCAAGATTCCCGTTTGTTTTGCATGCCAGAGCAAATGCTTAATCCTGTGGCCTGCTGCCTCTGCATGTTGGCTTGGAAAGGGAAAAGTACATTATGAAGGTAAAGAGCTACACAGGCAGGTCAAAGCAGAAAGCTTCTTTCTAAACCTTGCTGTTCAAGGGGTGTATTTACATGTTCTGTTATGGGAAAAGCACCAAGGACTTTGGCCTGATGGCTGAAGACCCGTTCAGAGTCTTTAGGACGTCCATTTACCCTATTAGTGGCACTCACTTTAAACGAGACTGAGGGGTATCTGGCGTTTGCCATGTCTGCGTGGACGTTCCTAGCAGGCCTTGCTTCAAACCATGCCGGGATGGTTAAGTCTGGCCCTGGGCTTTCATCTGGGTCAGGAAACTAGCAGGTTTGAAGCATCCAGCCGCCTACAGCTCTGCCTGCCTCCTGGAATTCTCTTGGGAACTGCCTTGGTCCATTTGGATGGATCCATCAGCGCTGGATGAGATCGACTTCTACTGTTTACAGGGAAAAAAAAATATATGGTGGAAAGTACTTGGTTGCTTTGGAAATACATTTTTCTCTTGGATTGGAAAACCTTGAACTTCTCCCCTGACAGCTTTATTGGCAAATTTTCTTTTTCAGACGGTTTTCAAGTCAAATGTTTGGCCCTTGTTGTAACCTTGCGTTACACCATCGCTCTCTTTATCCCTCACTCCTACGTTTGTACCTCGCATGGCTCTGTTGGAATAAAAGAAGGGTTGTGAAAAATGGGAATTTACTAAATATTCAGTGCTGTGACCCATCTTCAAACTGGCCAGTCTTGATCCCTCAGTACTTTCCAGCAGGCAGAGCTGCTGACCCAGCTATAATTTCTCTCCATCCTCTCTCCAGATGCACTTTGCTATTTACCTAACCCAGCGCAATGACGTAAGAAATTCTTTTTGGCCTTTTGATCCGTGTTCAAATAACACGGAATGTGTGAAGAAGTTGTTTTGAAGAAACAAATTCATTTTGGATTTGAGAGAACCGATCAACCTCTTACTGTTTGGGGAGGTGTTTCAGTTATGTTGTGTTTCCCTCCTGCCCACCCCGCTCCCCCCCACCCTCCCTTCAAAAGAATCTTTTTTCTTAGCTTTAGATGAGAGAAACATCTTCTCTTTTGCTCCAAAATCTCTCCTGATGCTTTCCCTCTGCTGTCACTGTGTCCTGCTGCATGGCAGCTTTCCTGCAGCTGGAGCAAGACCAAGAAGGATTGTTACTTGACAAAATCTTTGCAGAGTGATGATGTTTGGTCTGAGTGAATCTTACTTAACCCATGGGGATGACAACTCACTTAGACACCTTTCTTGCTATCCGGACACGGGGCACCGCATCTTTAGGGAGCCCTCTTCCCCCAACATGAATCTTTCTGCTCCCTCTACCTCTTTCTGCCTTCCCTGTATAGCCCTTCAGGATTGCAGAGCTTGAGCTACAGCTGCCAGACGTCCCTTGTGGTGGGAATTTCTCCCTCTTAGACACTAGCAACAGGATGCGACTCCTTGATTGTGAGCTGGCAGTAAGTAGAGACGAGATGACGTTTTTGGCTCCGGGGTACATAAACTTCCCTTCAGTTAGAAGGAGTGTCCAGGAAATTATCAGGGAAAGAAAAATGGACATTGAATGTGGTTCTTTATTTTTTTTATTTTTTTAAATTTTTTTTTCTGAGATGTTTCTCTCTGTAGAGGGCAGCATTTTTTATTTTAGTACAGCCAAAACCTGGCCTCTTTGGTGCTTCCTTAAATAGTGTAAGACTAATTGATCTGAAACAGGTTATCTTTAGGACGTAGGATTAGTGCTCTGTTGAATGGCCTTCCCTCTAGCTGGTGACTGCCTTCCCAACTCTGCAAATACCTTGGAGGGATAAATTGCAACTTTTTGCACTGTATTAAAATGAACATTCTCCTTAGCACACTAGACAGGTAGGTAATGGATTTTCTCTGTTCTGCTCCAGGATATGGACCCTCACTGTATTCATGGAGTCTTGCTTCTTGTTGAAAGAGACCTCACTTTTCGGATGGAGAAGCCAACAGCAGGACAGGTAATGGAACCGTTTTTCAGAGGTTACTGGAGAGCTGCTGGTGTGCTGGGTTCCACTCTGAACTGTGACTTCTCTGTACACTGATGTATGTGTGAAAAATCCTTGCTCTGGAAGATGTCCCATTTTGCTAAATCATATTCTGTGCAGGCACTTGTTGCTTCCTAGGCTTTTGCACCCTCCCCACCCATACTTCCTCATAGCTGCTGCAAGGAGAAGAGGAGATGTGTTTGTGTGTGGTATTGCCTTTGCAGCTAAAATGTCTGGAAAGGTTGGTAGAAGGTGCCAGTGGAGGAGAGAAAAGCCTTACAACCCACTTAACACCCACACTTGAGTTTGATCTGGTATCCCACAACTATATATGAAACATAAGCTTTCAGCCACTTCTGAGTTGTCTGTGGTGAGGGAATAGAGCATCAGACTCCGCGTCTTAGTCACCTCCTCCTGCTTAAAGAAAGTTAAGAAAGTTAAGAGCTGGAAGAGAGGACTGAAAGCCTGTGCCAACTGAAACCCTGTTCATTTCAGAGAGGCCAGCACCTGCCTTTTGACTTCTGTGCATGAAAACTGTCACCAGCATCGTGTTTGCTTTGGGGTGGAAGGCTGTGTGCACAGCGTGCTGCCCCAGAAAGCTAATGGATCCAAATACCATTAGTCTGATTCCTCTTGTGCTCCCCCGTGAAAGAATTTGAAGTGAGAAATTGTTGTGTGCGGGTACATGTTCATGCAGGAAGAGCTACGGGAGACGCTATTTAAAAACACAGAACAAATCCAAAGTGTGTAGGAAGGAGCACAGCAAAGGCTAATAAAGACCTGGGCATGCAGGAGGAATTGGAAGCAACATCCCCATTTCATAAAGAAGTAGAAACTTAGTGATGTGTGTAGGACTGAATGTTTCTGGTGCCCAGAGTGGCTTCGCTGTGCATTTTCTTGGTTTCTCTGGTGGTATAAAATATTCTGATGAGATTCTGCAGCTTCAGAGAAGGAAAATATCTGTGTCAAGATCTGGAAAATACTTGTGAGGCGGCAACCACCGTGATATCAGAGAGCTATGGATGGGACAGAAGCTGTTCCATTAAGGGTGTTTTTTTTCCAGAAATAAACAGGGAAGATGGACACTGGATTTAGTTCCTCAACCACTCCAAACAAATGCAATTTGCAGCACAAGATGTGAGCATATGAGGGAGTTGCTCTGCTTTTCCTGGGAGGTATTTGCTCTAGAAAAGTCTGACTGCTGCCAGACTTGTATCACAGATGTTTCACTTGGTGAAACTGCATGTTGCAGCTTGAATTCCCTCCGGGTTCACCCACTGAGCTCTGCAACAAGCTGCTTGGAGCTGATTTTTTTCTTTTCCTTCGTATTACAAATATATAGCAAATGTGCACCTTGTTTCTAAGCAAGGTTAATGTTGAAAGAAATGCTGTGTTTTGTTAACCTCCCTCTCTGTGCCACTCCTAGGTGCTCTTTCTCTAACACAAATGTGCTTTTATTCCTTCCTTCCTGTGCAGTTTGAGCTTCTCACCTCCATGAAATCCCTCCATAAGCACATAGATACCTCGCAGCTGCCTCCAGAACTGGATGGGACCTTCCCTTACTGCCACCAGGACTGGTTAAGCTTCCGCATGGTAAGTGGGCATGTGCTCTACTTGTTAATTGCCTCTTTGGGACTAGTATCATATTGCCACTAAACTAACAGCCAAGCAATCAGGAATAATTAAAAAATGGTTAGATTGCTGGTTTTGAAGTGGGTTCCCCAGAGGAAGCCAAGAGCTCCATAGTGAAAACGGCAATCCTGGCAGGTACAAAACTTTAAAGTTGCTGATAATCTAGTCAGCTACTTCTAGGAACTTTTGTTTCCTTCCCTTATTTATAATTCAAGCATTTCTCAAAAATCATCATGAAATATGAACTCTTTAGAAAGCATTTAAATTAAATGTATGGGGAAGTGGCTTCAGCTCAGTGGAGCATTTCGTTTCTCTGAGAGCTGCCCTTGTGGAATCGAGAGAAGTAGAACTGAGATAGCGGTCAGAGGCGACCCCAGAAACACTTCTCCTTGTTGTCTGGCCCTTTGGGTATGCCCTGTTACCACGGTCTTCTTGTGGTGCTGGCCACACGTCAGGGCAAATAGGGACTGCCAGAAGTCGAGGAAAGTCCCATATGTGCCCGCAGTACCAGCTGCATGTGCTTGTGCTGCAGAGGCAGCATTAGCCCCGTGGATCATGTGTTACTGACTCTTTAAAAGCGAGGCTGAGACATGATTTGGCACGCTGGGACTAAAAGGGATTAAAGCCCAGTAAATCTGCAAACAAACCGGCTGTCTTCGCGTTGTGCTGGACTTGCTCTCCCTCATGAATGAGAGAAGCGTCGCTTCTACTTCCAAGAGATTTTGCCTTTTTCCAGCTCCGCTCTCGCTGCCCGCAGTGGTGCTTGGTACACAGTGCAGCATCTGAAACTGGTTAAAGTGACATCAATGACATCACCCCAGTTTTGGGTGGAAAGCTTCAGCAGTTAAGCATAGTGCCCAGTGTTAACTCTTCTTTCCCTGCTCATTTTAGAACCCAATTTTAAAAGCCACATCTAAAAGGTGATTGTCCTCAAAGGAAACAGAGCATGATACAAGACCACCTCTTCTTCCTGCGTCTTATATTTAACACACAAAACATTACGCGAGGAAGGCAGTGCAGAGCTCAAGGTGGCTGCCTTGCCTGTGTGCCTGTGATGCAACCTGTGTGATAATGACTCACGTGCTCAGCCGCTTTAGATCCACCGCTATGGAGCAAACAACATTTATTTCCCGTCCCAGTGATCTCACCTGCATCCTGCCCACTCATCTGTCCCCACTGGGGCTTTTCAAACTTTCCAGACTGGGAACAGCATCAAACAACTATTTTTAATTGTTTTTTTGAGTGAGAGCCTGCTTTATCCCATCTCTGTTTGTCCCTCCTCTGCTTTCAGTGACTAGAAGGTGGCATCTAACACTGCTTTAGCTTCAGTTTGTGGCTTTTTCTAAGGAGCGGTCTACCCCGCAACTTCAACACTTGTTATTTCCCAGAAGAGAGAAGGGATTTCAAATCTGTCAGTAATTCCAGGTGGTTTGTTCGCACTGTGAGAGTCTGCCAGGTTCCTAACTTTTCATTTACACCACTCTTAGTATAAGGAGAAATGATCTAAAATATAAAAAGTTCCAAGTACTCGTCCTAGTGTTCACTCCTCCAAAATGCAGCCATTGTATTTTATCTTAGTGGAAAATTATAAGAAAGGCTAATAGAAGAATACGGGTCTCAAATGTGCCAATTTGCTTTCTCTAAAGTACAGAGTGATGCATTTGAAGCCTCTGGTGGGTGAGGCAGCCTTGCAGGTTGGCATAACTGAACTCTTGGGTTAACAAATTTGATCCTCTCTTGGTGATATTCATCCTTTAATCCTCTGAAACTGAAAAGACGTCTTTCTCTTCTGCTCTGAGATGATCAGCTCTGCCTCAATCCTTTCCTCTTGTAGAAGCTGGAGCATTTGCTGCAAGGATGCCAAGGTGCCTGTGCCTTCCTCCAGGGAGCCATTTACAATGTGGAATCTGGAAGACTCCCGGGAAGGGCTGAGGTGAGAGTGGCCTCTGTCACATGTGGGCCTGGGACAGAAGAGAGCAGAGGGCTGGATCCTGCAGAAACCCCTTATCTCTGTGCATCACTGCAGAGGCACCAGGCGAGCAGGGCTTGTAGGACCTGATCCAAGGAAAGCGGGAGCGCTGAAGAGCCCCTTGGCAGCAGAAGCTGCTTCTCTGGGTGTCATCCCAAGAGACC